ACACTCATTCATCTTGATATCAATCATGCAAAAAAACACTTCTACCTTCCAAAGAGCTCGAAATATTGAACAGATTGGGAAGATTTCCACAAAACTACTCTTGGGTGGATTGTAAGCAGGCAAAAGTTCACGATCTGGCTTGAAAGGATTCAGGGATCCATTCACGTGTGGTCTCAAAGTCTGTTGTCTAGAGGTAGGTAGGCTTTTGTCGTTGACTCTTTCGCTATTCTGATGGGTTTCAGGCTCAAAGAGGGTGGAAGCAGTCTGAGGTGTATCAATCGTTCCATCGCAATTGGCATTATTCGTCTCCATAGGCTGATCAGCTGAAGCGCAGGTTTTGGTGGAGGTGAAATCAAGGTTATGTCGATCGATGAGACGTCCAGCAGGAGAAGCATACTTGGGTAGAAAACACGCCAGATCTGGTATCACATATAATTCTTTAACACTGCAGGGGAAAAAAGATGAGCCTTTCTCGTCAAGAAATCTTACGCACGATACAAGTCCTCATAGTAGATTCCATGTTCTATTGAATAAGTCGATCAATGTCAATCACACCATGTGGATTAAGATAGAAGAACAACCAAACTTACCCCCGCGTAGGTGATGCTTCAAGCTAACAGCAAAGCCTTCAACCAAGTTGATGATTGTTTTCTTTTCTATAATCGACCGTAGGCGCTTGTATTTTTTCATTCATTTAGAATAAACATCAACATTGTGACATCTCTATCTGTCAAGCAGGGAGTCCATGCCCACCTCCTCTTCAGTGGGAGGCTCCTTCGGATCGAACGGCCTAGGCGCATCAGGACAATGCAACCAGATGAGACGAGCGAACGTGCGTCCAGCTAGAATGATTGAAGACCATTGTTTACGCCCATCATTGTATCGCTCATAAGCACCTATGATTGTATGATGGAAGGGTAAATAAACTGCACTGCGTGTGATCAAAATGCAAGGTTTTTGGACTCACTTGAGGTTCGGTAAGAAACTACGAAACCGATCACCGTCCCTACGATTCAAAGGTATCTTGTCAATATCTTGTCATCGAAATCTACCTGGAAAAAATTGCATTTTTGAATATCAGTCAAAAGTAGAGGTGGTTTACCTAGTACAGTCAACAGTGTAGCGGGCTTTGATAGATCAAATTGGATCAAACATGTAATGGACGCAGTTATCAGTAAGAATAGAGTAGTTTGACAAATTTAAAAGAGAACTGACGAGGTGCAGGGACGTAACTTCACGATCAATCAGAATGACAAACGTCGCCCATGCTGTGAAAAAAGCAATCTGATTACGTTCACAAACAATACAAAAAGGTGCATACACCCAAGAATCAAAGCGCAATAGATCAGCAGAATGGATTTGGAGTCAGTCAGATGATTTCAAAACCATTCTTACGCTTGGCCAAATCGCCCAAAGAGTGATAGCTTTGAAGAAAAGTATTACAGAAGGGCTGTGGAGAGGCCAAAAATCAAAAGGTTGAAGACGGTTTTAGGCATGACGCTCTGAGCAGTAGTTTCTTAACACTCACGCTCGAAATGGGTTCAATAATATTTGCTCTCGTTCGGTTTCTCTTTTTTCATGGAAAGGGGCATAGGATGAATCAGATTTTTGTTGATGAACGAATGAAGCCATTGTAGTATGCTTAAACTCAAACCCAAGGAAACGTTGGGGTATGAACAGGTCAAGAAGATTAGTCAA